TATATATATATATCACGCACACACACGGGTCTCAAAAACGAAACGAATGAGGCACCGACGTGGAGACACACACAACGATATGAGTGAGGCACCGACGTAGAGACGCACACTCCGAAATGAGGCACCAACAAGAGGCACAGACATGGAAAGAATGAATTTACATAATCGCTTCAACACCATACAAATGCTGAAATGCACAATAGCTCCAACACCTCATTATTAACGCTTTCACAATGACCATAACCCTCAGACCTGATGCACAATCACTCTTATATCCATCTACCTATCTAACCATCCATCCATCCATCCATCCCATCATATCCCACCATCCACTCCTACAGGGTACATGATCACTCCAACTGAAATGCACAATCGCTCCAACACCACTTTATTCACGCTTTCACAACGTTTAATAACACTCACACCTGATCCACATCCCTCTACCTATCATCTATCTATCCATCCATCCATTCCATCCCATCATATCCCACCATCCATTCCATCTATGTCTATCCCACCATCCATTCATCTATCTCTATATCCCCTCCCCATGGCTTCCCCCCAGCGCTATTCCTATCCTCGTCGGCTCTCTCCCTCTTATGCTCCCCCAGCGCTGTCTGTCTCTCGCACACAAGCACAAATCTGCACGTCTTGGACAGCACTAGCATGTTCGACATTAGCTTTGTCAACACAGTAAAAAAATGTGAAAAATTATGAGTGCACGTTCAAATCCATGGTGGCAACATGCATCCTCTACTCTGTGAATTGTGGCTGTTGTGTATTGCAAGCTTCTATCTGAAGATGCATTTGTCATTTTGCTCACCAATGTGGAAAACTGAGTGCAGCTTCACATCGGCAGTGGCAAGGTACATCCCTACTGTGAATCGTGGCTGTTGTAACTGCCAGCTTCTATCTGGAGACATTTTTTCAGGGTTCGTTAGTAATATTGCAAGGCCTTCTCTCTTCCTCACTAACTTGCTCAGCCGCTTGATCACTCGTAAATGCTTGCCTCACGTCACTGCTTTGTTCTTTCATGCTTTTATGATGGCTTTTCCACTTACTAACTCCTTGAGGTTTCGCTGCATACGGGAAGGAACAGAGGAACACACACACACACACACACACACACACACAAAAACACACACAAACACACAAACACACACACACACACACACACACACACACACACACACACAACAAGAGAGAGAGCGAGAGAGACAGAGAGAGACAGAGAGAGAGAGAGGCGCTTATTCATGATTGGTCTTCGGGTGAGCTTTTGCATCCCAAAATTTTTTGTTCTCACTGGATGGTTCATTGCAGCTGTAGTGTTTGAGATGTGAAACATAAACACCCACAGGTGCCGTTTAACCACTTGTGCAGACGATAGACGGAAAAGGTGATATAGATACATCAGAATCGCAATTGATTGAATCTCCTGCTCCAGGTATTATATCTAGACGTTCAGTATACGAGCCAATGCAGACAGGACTAGACAACAATGTAGATTTATTTTCTGTTTATATGTATATTATTTCATTCTCTATTACATTAATTATTACATAATCTCTCAAATGTATATGTATATGAACTCGAGTAATCATCCAATACAAGATGGTCACATTATCTGCAAGTCTGAGGATCAAATTCAAGCTTAGCTCGGGAAAAAAGGTCAGTGGAGAGATGTACCTCCATTTTCTGATGTTGAATCCCCGAGCGCTTGATCCCTGATTTTCTGTGCAGCAGCCCACACTACCTCCCATGGAAGAGGGGCCAAAGATGACCAGTGATCATGCTTTGCAGGTGCAATCGCCGGATAAATACCTGGCCAAAGTCACACCCCAGTATACACGACCCTCAAAAGTAAATATCCCATCACAATAAAACATGCAGGGTGTCAGAGTTCACCAAACAATATTCGAAAAGAGATTCGAATGGTTCACCGGTTCCACCGTATGCTCTCATCTTTTTCATTTTCATTTAAGATTGAGTCTGCAGTGCGCTTCAGGTGTGTTAGGTCCATATTGGACTTAGGTTCTCTACATGTGCTGGTAAGTACGTCAGTAATCAACGTAAATACAGAGAAGACGTTGCTTCTTATACACATCTAGATGTGTATAAGAGACAGGGATTGACTTTTTGTGCCATTATTTGTTTGTCTTTTTTTGTTTCGTTTTTGTTTTCGAAGTTTTACGTGTAGAAGCAAATTCTCCAAATTTATGACCAACCATATCTTCAGTAATCTGTAAACCAACAAAATATTTTCCGTTATAAACTCTGTCTCTTATACACATCTAGATGTGTATAAGAGACAGGGAATGAGTTCGTCATTCCAGGTGTCTTTCATGCATGCTCCACGCATGAAATAAGTCGTGTCCGTCTCGTTGCGGACATCTGCAACGTCCCACTTGACTACGCCAAAGTGGGCAATTCATTCGGTGACTTGCACGGTCGCCCTCACTAAACCAACAAGAATCTGGACTACGATTCACATTGAGTCTGACTGAGATTGGATTGACTTTTTGTGCCATTATTTGTTTGTCTTTTTTTGTTTCGTTTTTGTTTTCGAAGTTTTACGTGTAGAAGCAAATTCTCCAAATTTATGACCAACCATATCTTCAGTAATCTGTAAACCAACAAAATATTTTCCGTTATAAACTTGTGCATAGTAACCGACAAATTTAGGCAAAATACAAGATCTACGTGACCAAATTTTCCAACTCTGGCGAGCCACACGCGAATGCTTTTTCAACAGACAAGCATAGAGCGTTATTACACGAAAGGAACACCCAACATTCCACAATCAAAATTTCAAGGCAAGGTCATACTGTGTTGCCTTTTTGGCTCTGCACAGTCTGCACACTACCGGACTTAGCCACACCTCACGAGAAAAGTGCACGTTCCCTCCCTCAACACGCAGCATGTCACCATTACCATTCCAAAAACAGTGGAATTCTGTCACAGTCCTCCCCTTCTACCCTGGTATACCCCACCCCATCCAGCAATCCTCCAGAAATAATTTAAAAAATGCCTTTTTAAAATTTGAAGTTTAATCCTTGAGTACACGTCCAAGCCTCTTTTCCCTAATACAAATTTTTGCTGCAGGCCAAGCCCCACTGGACTGGTGTGGAACGCGATTTGGCTGGCGCCTACAGAGTTGCCCCCCCCCTCATAGGTTGCACCCCTCACTGCCACGTCCAAACAAAATAGCTGGGCACCGTACTGAGCCCCGCCAAACATGTTACTTGTTCAACTTTTGGAAGCCCATTACAATCAATTTGTCGAGGGATATCCTGCCTGGATGCTTCCTGTGCCTCAGTTAAGCCACCTACTGTCTTCACCGGAATAGAACACCCGGTCATTATAGCTGTATTTGGGGCAACTTTACGTCTAGGTATAATGACTGTGTGTTCTATTCAGGTGAAGACGATAGTCATCAAAGCCACTCAGATGATGATCTGCCCAATCTAACTTCACAGCTCAAGCCCGATGGTATATTTTGTGTGATGCTCACATACATGAACATCGAACACCATCAAACGCAGCCAACTGAAAGCCTGAGAGATGGAATGGCATAGGATGTGATGTGATTGAAGTGTGGGCCCAAAGAGACGCCCAAGACAGGGGATGTGACACAATGCTTTTCAGCACCGATACAAATGATGCACACAGTCACGTATGGAAACACATGGAACAACTGTTGGCCAGGATCATCATCCTACGTTTCACCTTGCATTTCTTCTCAACAAATGGAAGCGTACAGGGCAAAAGCATAGTGAAAATCACAGAGACAACCGGCAGCAGCAGCAATAATGCTGAGCGGGCTGAGTGCGGGCTGCCCAAATGAAAAACTCTTGCAAACCACACTTCAATTGGGTGGAGAATAGCGGTGGTCCCCACATGCAGTGTGGGGACCACCAGCAACCACGTCTTGCTGATGGCAGTTACATGAAGTGGTGAAGGGTGTCCTGAAGTGGTGATGAAAAATACAACTGTTGTTAACCTTCTCTCGTTACATGGTGACTGACAAGCTTTCACATCCCCAGGAACACCAACCCAGACTCTGCTCCTTGAACTCAGGATAGTATAAACACCAACCACGCCTCGACAGTCCCAGCCAGTCCCATTCGAGTATACCCATTACTCTTGCCAACCACCATTCCCCCCACGCCCCCGTCCTGGAAGACTCCCTAAACTTGATATCTGTGTAATGACCCGCCAAAAACACAGACTGAGAACACTGCTGATTTCTGGGATTTGCCGCTGGAATGAATGCCTTGCTGAAATTCCCGCATTCTGCTGTGATTTCCATGTCTGTGTGTGTGTGCGTGCCTGCTGGGTTGCATGCCTGTCTRAGTGCTTGTCGGTTGAGYGTGTGTGTGACCCGCAAGGGTACTTGTTGGTTGCAAGGCCCCGCAGGGCCGGTACTTACCTGTGGCCGTGACTGTGAAGGGTTGCAGGGGGGAAAACACTCGAGTAGCGGGGGTAGGCCCGCGGCACTTAGAGCAAAGGGGAAAAACACTCAAGTAGCAGGTAGGACGGTACCACTGAAGTAGTGGTAGAAGTGTCGGGTACTGGAGGCCGAGCAGAAGAAGACAAAAAGTTGGCATTTTTAGAGGCCCAGTAGCGGTAGGATAGCGGTAGGCCGGTACCAGTCCAAGTAGCCCGGGTCTAGGGCCTGTGCGGAGGATAGCAGAGCCTGCAATGATGTTTCCCTCCGAAAGGGAGGAGGTACCGGTTGCTGGGAGGCCGCTCGGCCTAGGAAGTCACCGCCCAGGAGGCCGGTAGGCCGCTATATCTCCAGGAAGAGCAAAGAGCTCTTCCTCATTTGCGGTGTGGCAAGGATTGGCGACATGCTGCTGGAGCGCAGCGCTGGACTGGTACAGCGCTGCTTGGAGGCGAAGGGCAGCTGGAGCTCCCCCTGGCTATGGCAAGCAGTCCAGCTTGAGGAGGAGGAAGAAGGGGGCATGATAGGAGAGTGGCGGGGCACTTACCTGGCTATGGTAGACACCGTCTTCATCACCTTGTTGGGCGCTGCATCCGGAAGGCCCCAGTTGGGGTAGTGCTGCACCAAGGAAGCTCGCGGCAGAGTCAGGCATGGCGGACCAGTCAGCAGCGGCATAGCTGCTTTGGGTTGTCCCTTGGACGTCAGGGCAAGGCCCTCATTAGTCCACCATAGCCTATGCATGAGAGAGGAGGCTGCAGGAGGGAAGCCATAGCTATGGTGGACTGGTTGTTGTTGTTGTTGTTCGAGTTGAGTCAGTAGTAAGCGGGAACTTCGGATATTGATTCTGGTTCATCCATTCATTGTTATTATTATTATTGAGAGAAGAATAAGATTGGTGAAGTGAAGGAGGAGGAAGGTGGAGAGAGAAGGGGGAACTATCATTAGTCTTGCTGGTGTACATCTTCTTCTCCTTCTTCTTCTTCTTCTTCTTCTTCTTTCTCTCTCCTCTGGTCTTTATCTCTTTGCAAGTGCTTTCATTTCTTTCGCAATTGGGTGACATTGTCTTTCATTGTGATTTTGCACTTGGGAAATGACCAGGATCGTAACATCTGGACAGCAAACTGGCAGTCAAGCTTGTGCGTTATCATGCCCTTCCAGGTCTTCACCCAGGATTTCAGACTGGCAGAGCCTGGCAGTCAGTCGACCACGAGTTTCTTTGTCCAAATGGTCCACCTGGATCATGCTGATGGGTCTAAGGCTCAGTGCCGAGCTGACATGCATCTCTGTGCACCAGCAGCGGACTAATTTTTTATTCTTCACCCATTCCTGTTCACATGGTTCACCCACACCATCCAAACTCCTGTAAATCTGGCCTCGGCACCCATTTTTCCCGCGCTCGGGTGAGCAGCAATTATGGCATACAGTGAACCACACCCCAGACAGAAAGGAAGCATCTGAAGTGGAAAAGATCACAGACCGAACCCCTTTGCCAACCCCCAGTAGCGCGCAAGCCAGCAACGCTTAAGCACAACCTCCTCCTGCAGCCACACAATGAAACAGCCACATGAAACGGATTGACGCAAAGCAATCAGGCCTGCAATTCATAGCCTGCAAAGCAACAGACTCTGTTGTACCCCAGGAGATGCTGCCGGAGCAGAGACGACAAACACGAACAGCACTGTTTTTTTTAACATTCTTTAAAAGATACCCTCTAAAGCTTGATTTGCAGCAAGGGGAATACACTTTAAACCACCAGCACTTGGCTCATACATCGGGTGCGAGCTCTTGAAATTAACCCGCCATGTTAACCATCAATGGTTTAAGAACTAACCTCTGGAGCTTGATTTGCAGCAAGGGAAAACAATAGCTAGTAAAAAATGACACAGAATTTGCAAGAATTATAACTACCATCCTCTGCACGACCATCAAAAGCAGGCGCAAGAGAAGAAGAGATCATCGCTGAGACGAGGAGAGAGAATGCAGACACACTACAACAGATTGCCAAGCAGGCACAGCACACGAAATAGCTCTCAAAAGAAAGCGGAAAAAAAAAGAAGAAGGGGGGGAACGATGGAAAAGCAACAATTGTCAGAACGGGGAAAGCAACACAAATTAACAATGAGGAGGTTAAGAGTGGCAGAGAAGTTCACCAAATGAAACACAAAAATGCAGACCAAAAACAAGAAACAAGAGAGTTCACAACACCTGAAAAACAGCATTATTGAGTGCAGAAATAGACACTGGACAACCGGTGCCATGCGCTGCACTGCATACTGTGCAGTGTGCTTAAAATTGGTGTATTACACAGAAAAACAAAACTCGAAAGAACAAAAGGATAAAAACAAACAGAACATGGCTTTTGACTTCAATAAATCTGAGGAAAAAAAAAGAAGCATTCCAGATGAAAATTCCTCGAAAGAGTCAAAACATTATTTCCACAATCAATCTAGTCTACCCGGCAACAAAGGCTATGGGCAGGCATTCGTCGGCCTGAGCAAACTGTCAGACTTTGACATGCCCATTTTGCACACACCTAATCCACAATAAGCATGCTTAGAGTCTTAAGACCATTTAAAGGAATTTGCCAATGCCAGCTTCGAAAACAAACAGTCCATGACGAATACGCATGACAGATGGCATTTCACAAGGAAACACAATACTCCATGGGAAGAGGAGGGGGGGGGACTCAGTCTTTCATACTCTATTACACAATTTGGATGAGCTTACCCACCATTTCATCCTGCGTTAGGGCCATCCTCTGTACCGCCACTCTCAACGCCTTCAACTCCGCCTCGGCGTCCTGTTTTTCTTGCAGAGCAGCATTGGCATCCTCCCTCGCTGACTGAATCACAACAACGCGGGCAAGGCAAACTACTCTGAGCTATCCCAGATGACTTTCACGCATGTTCATCAAGTAGACTTCGAAAAGGATGACACCTGTTGACTTCTTTTACCTACTCCAGTGATGTACACCTGTTGACATAACAGAACATGAACTTCCTGGAAATCTGCCCGTGTTCTTGATATGAATGCCCAAATAGGCAATAAGCTAACAGCCTAATACCCGACAAAAGGACCACCACTGAGGGGTGCATTGTATACAGGGCTTCATGATAGTGAAACAAGAAGAGTGTGTCTCAGACAACCACCCAACACACACCCATAATGAGCACCCCAATCAACCCGATAATCAAGTTCCACCCCAATTGCTACCTCTGTCTCCCAGAAATAAGAAGTAGCACGCATAAAAGTTGAAAAGGATCGATGTCACCAAGCATGTCTCCACTCTGACACCAGGCCATAATTGCACACACAAATACTGGAACCTAGCCTTTGACCTCGGCGTAGCAGCATCCACAGGACATGGACATCACCATGAATTCACAAGCTGACATCGGGAGAGCAGACTGCAGCAGAAAAGGGAATTGTCTGAATCCTCACCTGCAACCCATTTGCCATTGTTTTGGCTCTCTCTCTCTCTCTCTCTCTCTCTCTCTCTCTCTCTCTCTCTCTCTCTCTCTCTCTCCCCCCCCCCCGTGGTCATGACACAGGCACTCCCTCTCCCACTGCGCCCTCGAAAGCGTATTCAAAAATGAATCGACGTGTGTTTTACTGCCCATGCTCTCAGTATACTACTGCCAGAAGCCTCCTCAAGCCGTTAGATCAAAATAAACCTGGCAGTTCAGTGGAGGGAATGGCCTCCTGGTCCTGTCGGAGGGCCAGTGTATGTGGAGCCCGATGGGCCCCTCGGACTCTCATCGTTCCGGAGCCTCTGCTTCTGTCTTCCTCCGAACACCATGCAACATCATCATGACCGTATTGGACCAGAAAGATAGCTTGTACGCATTCCTTGTGCTCTAGGGAAGACACAGGTCGCCAGTAAAGACAGTAGGAAATCTGCTAGAACGGTCGTAGGCACCTTCGGTACCAAAGCAGCACCATCTAGTATGGACTGTCTGACAAGAATCCAAAGATCGCTCCATTGTCCAGATGCATACACACCTCGACCATGTAGTCTCTCCAAGCACAACCTCAGCACTCCCAGACAAATGGAATCAGACAAAGGTCTGAAGAGTGGAAACTTGGGCTGGGCCAGGAGAACCAGCACAAGACAAACAGATCAGCAGTGTAGCATAGGACAGATCTGCTGTAGTCTCAACAAAAAAAAAGCAATGCAGCCAGGCCAGTGTAGTGCCATGAGAATGCTCAAACCAGGTACAGAGGGATCAAGCAAACATCGCACAGTGTGCTGCCTCTGGCCAAAGGATATCCCAGGCGCTAACACGCCTCTGCTTCCACTTGATCGCGACCAGGAGAGGAAGGGGGAGGACAAAAACAAAGAAAACACTCATGTTCTGAATGTGCAGAAGAAGAGCGATCCGACAGAAGGACACGGGGGAAAGACGCAGCAATAACACATGCAGTTTGTCATACAATAGTGATGGCTAATTATTAATTACTGTTTACTTACCTCTGCCTCTAATCTAAGCGCTGCTATTTCATCCTCCTTCATTGACGAGGCCTGCTCCTTGGCAACCCTCAGAGCCTCCTGTTTTGTTACCCAACATGAAGAGAGAAACGCGATTGCAGTAAATACAAGGGCATGGAAATGCAATTGCAGTAAATACAAGTGGACATTTTGTGGTGCTGTTCCTAGTTCTGGTGATGGATTTGGGGCGGGGCGGCAGAAACGGAACCGATTGCTGTTGCTGGTTGTGGCGATGGATTTGGGAAAGCGCCGCAGCAAAGCGGACTGAACGACAAGGGGATGTCGTGCTCCCATCAGTTAGGCTTGATGACACCAGCCGAAGTTGGGAATAAAAGAAGAGGAACAGGGAGCAGCAGGGGTGTGCAACGAGAGGGGGGAGGGGTTTTGCAGGGACCAGACTTCTAAACAGGGCTCATGCGGAAGACCTTTTTACGCTTTTCTATATCATCCAACAAGCAGAGGAGCAGTCGGCGTCACCACAGCTCTGACATGAACTCCGGGACAGCTTCAGCATCAACTTCAAGTATGCTGCACCCTTATCTCACTTTGAAGCACCAACGGAAAGTTCGATGCAAGCTTTGCACCCTCTTATCCACGCGTCTTCAATTAGATTACCTGGCTGCTGACCATCAAGATGAATTACCAATTCAATTTCTCCTTTGTTTTTTGTGTTTTTTTCTGACAGGCAGCCATTGGGCTGCCGCTGGGTAACATCTGCCTGCGGCACAGCTGGAGTGCAAATACCCCTCCCCACTACCTCCCAGAACGCAATACTCGAGCCCCTTCAGAAAATATAAACCTAGCAGGCATGCAGCATCCAACAGCAACATTATGTGAACAAATATGGATGTATACACATACACTCCTGTTGTGTGTGGAACAAAGCACATTTCAGAGGCATTCGGTGGAGGACTCACCACTGCACTTCCGTAACGGCCATTCTTTTGATGTAGTACCACAATTTTTTGATGAACTACCCCACTCGTAAGAAATTTGTAGAAAAGACAGCTTACAGGTTGAATGAACTTGAATCAAACATTTGCACCCTCTGTTTTTCCCTTTCCTCTAAAATCTATGTACAATGGAGGGTGTTCTCTCTGACGCTCTCTCGCTCGCCCCTTCCCATGTTCAAGTGCAGATTCATAACCCGTTTTCCTCCCCGATAGCATCATTCGCCTTTGAGAAAGCAGATAAAAGACAGTAGTAAAGAACTTGGAGTGCAGCATACACCGCCCCAAAACTGCACATCATTTGCTGCTAGCCTGGAAAGCATGGGTCGGCAAGCTCCCTCGCCAAAATGAGATGTCCAATGTCCATGGCATGCGACAAAGCCACGGGTTTGGACTGGACGATAAAAAGGAGGAACAAAACAAAAAACACAACACTTGCGGGCTCACGACATGCAAAATTTGTGTGCACTATTTGCTTTGCAGTGCTCTCAATTTACGATCAGCAAGTGTTTGACAAATTTCCCTTCTTTCAAGGAGAGCCAACGAATTCACCAGCATTGTTATGAGATTCAAGACAAGACAGGCTGGATGCATTACTGAGCAGAGAGGGAGAAATAGATTGTCTTCATATTAACTCTGACATGCCCCATACACAGCGACATCAGTGCTTTTCCTCAGCAAAATCGTTATTCTCGGGGGCAGGTAAGTGTTCTACACTCAGGACAGCTGACGATGGGCCAGACCCTTTCAAGCGTTGAAAGGATGTCTCACCTCCCTCATTTTGAGTGCGGCCTCTTTCCTGCAGCAATCCAAAGAGAACATTCAGGGACCAGATAAGAGTCAGTTTCTTTAAGTAACCGCTCACATGGTATCGTATAAACTTACAAAACCCAGCTAAACAGATAAGAGTCCACTGCTTTAGGTAACTGTTCACATGGTAATGTATAAAGTACTATACACTTATAGAGCCCAGCTACCTGACCAAAGTTATGTTGCTTCGGAGGTCGTTGAATGTCAAGGTCCAAATGTTCTAAAATTCAGGAAAGATAATACCGGCCTCCACAGCACAAACAGACAGATAAACAACTGAACCTATCGAACGAAAGCGAAAATGCGTTGTGGTCGCATGCCAAACACCCACCTGAATTTCAGCGTAACTTAAGAAAGAAGAGGTAACTACTAAGAAGATTAGTCGCTACCTTACACAGTTACAGAATACCCATAACGCTCTCTACCTTTACAAGATGGTCTGTTTAAAATTTAAACACCTGGGCATCATTGTGCATGTTTTCTCATCCCTTTCCCTATGTGCAAAGAGCAGCATACGAGGCCGCGCAATGATCCCCCTCCCTCCTGCACATACATAAATTGCGTGCAGAAAGAAAGAATCCCTTTCCCCAGAAAGGGCTACATAACAGAACTGGACAAACCCCTTCCCTCCCAGTACAAAGAGTTTTTTGCATCTCAGTCCACATGGAAACCATCTTGAAACATCGCTCGGCACTTGCCCTCCGTTCCTCTGTAAGCAGAAAGCTCTTTACATCAGTCATACCACTGCACACTCTAATCGCTCGGCACTTGCCCTCCTTTCTCTCTGGAAGCACAAAGCTTTTTGCATTCGTCATACCACTGCACACTCTCTCTCCTGCTCTGCACAGAAAGCATCTTGAACTCAACACTTCTATCCTGTGCATACATAGCCTCATCGAAACAAGGTCCAATACATGCAAACAGAAAGGACCTTCCAATGCTACTTCAGTAATCATTTGCTGCCTTCCACATCGTGCAGCAGCGCATGAAACTTCCTACCTACCTCCCCATCTGTGCAGAAAGCATCATGGGATAGCACTCGGCACTCCCTATCCTTCTCGTGGAACATTGACCGCCATGCGAGACTTTCTATCCCTATTCCCATGCACAAATAGTTTATTTGTGATGCCGCTGGATAGTCCCCAGCACTTCCACTGCAAACACAAAGGTGCTTGCAACCAACACCCCCTCACTCCCACTCTCTTGCCCCACTGCACAGAGATCTTCAGGCAATCCCACAATACGGCCACCCCCTCATCCCACACACACAAACCTTGCAACATGATTCAACATGACCCTTCACCCTCCCCCTCCAAGCACAAAGCATCACAGAATGCCACTCAACATCCCACTTCTCTCCTCCACGCTGAAAGATTCCTGTCACTCTGCTCAACACTGCCCTAACATTACCTCGCTCTCAGAAACAGAAAGCTTGGTATCCTTCACAGTATTAGGGTCATGTGGTCCTTGCACACTGCCCTTTCAATGCCACATAACCAATTTCAGCTCCATGCACGAATAATAGACATAGCTGCGAAGCATCGTCGTGTCATTGCCCTAACACTACCTCGCTCTCAGACAAAGAAAGCTTGGTGTCTTTCACAGTATTAGTGTCATGTGGTCCTTGCACACTGCCCGTTCTATGCCACATAATCAATTTCAGCTCTATGCACGAATGATAGACATTGCTGTGCAGCATTGTCGTGTCATTGCAGCTTAAGGACTTGTGTTACGGCACACTCGATAGTTTCTCCAGTGTTCCACAGGAGTCCTGTGCAAGCCATCACGGCCACTGTTTCTTGGGAAGTGCATAATCAAGATTGAGGGCAGCTGTGCTGTTTGCTGCAAGCAAAAGAGTGCCCAGAATCACAGTATGATCAGACCCTCGCTAGTAGTAAAAGTACTTTGCACGCAATCAGGGGCGTTGTATTCTTGGGAAGTGAATGGTTGAGACTGGGGCCTATTCTTCATGCTTGGTGATTGTGTCACAATTACAGGCGTACCGTTTGCTGCAAACAGAAGAGTGCCCAGAATCACAGCATGATCAGACCCTCGCCAATTGAAGATTCCTGTCGTAGGGGGTAATGGTCCCTACTCATGAATCTTCCAGGGCTCAAAGCTGCTGCCTGATACCCTGTTTGTCGTAGGCAAAAGTCAGAGCTTCCCTCATTTTGAAGGTTTTTTTAAGGTCCAGGGTGTAGTAGAGGGTGGTGGCCAGGCCTCAGGCGGTGCCCGTAGGACTCTTCCATTGGGAGATCAGATAAAATGTGGGGACCCAGGGGGAGTCACCTCAAGATGCCACCATGGCACCATGCTAATACTCACATCGCAAGTCGTGATCTGCACCAACTCTTCGTGCAGATGCTACCTTAACTCTAATGTTAAGGACGACCCGGGCACAGGTGGGGTCCATGCATATGCAGCCATCCCCCATCTGTGCCTCAGCCCACAGACTCTATGGGCAGCGAACCACCCTTGCACTAAGATGCGACATCCCACCCTCCCCTATCCTAAGCATGATGCCTCCCTACCCAAGGCTCCCCAAGAATCCACAATCCCGACTTATTCCCCCAATGAGAATTCCCACAGACCCCAGCGTGGATGAAGCACCACCCCCAAGACAGAGGTCTGTTTGTGTGTGAGAGACAGAGAGAAGACAGAGAGAGAGTAGAGAGCGAAGTGTGCTTTGCCACAACAGCTAGCTTTGGTGATTGGCTGCAGCATGCCTTCTTCGATCTACATGCCAAATTGCCAAATTGCAACATAATTTTTGTGGGCCCTAGCATGGTTCCATAGGTGGCTGTCAGATATATGGAACCTCAGGGTTTGCGGAACTCTCCTTTGGATGCTTCCAAGCAGTTCTCACACAAGCGCATCAGTGCACACATACACAGACACATGCACCTGTACCCTCTCCCTGCACCTCAATCCCTTCACCTCTTTCTCTCGCACCTTTCCCTCTCATTTTTTCTCCCTCTCCTCTTCTCCTCCTTCCAATTCCACCCTGCTCAGGCCACCCAAGGTCATCCTGCTGCCACCCAGGTCCTACAGCTGAATCACAGTGTGGAGGGCACCCCACCACTTATACAACAGCTAGTGTAGAGCTGGCTCAGCAAAAGCATTTTGAGGCAAAACATATGCCCATCAATTTGATTGTCACAATCGGAAGAAAAGAAATCCCGGGCATTTCGCAAGAAAGAATCTCAGGGAGCAGACACCGACATAGCCTTTGCAATTATCGGCGTACTTGCTTCAGTCATCAAGCAACACACCGGTATGAGCAAGAACTGCAGTGTTATTATCTCTTCAAAAAGCATTACTGATACAATATCGCCAATCAGTCCTCGTTCCAGAGAGAGCCTCGACTCGGGCAACCCGAAAACCACAAAACCACAACAGCCCAAGCAGAGCACTTATAAGTAGCGTGCCTTCAAGACGCTTGGAGAGAAATTGCCAAGAGCAACAGAACACCCACATACATACTGGTTTTCAATAAATTTCATAAAAGGAACTCGAATCAGGCTTGGGCACAAACTGCTTACGACTGAACCACAGCAGACTACGGAGGCACCCAAATAGAACATACCATGAAGATCACCATATCTAGACAGAAAGCTCCTTCAAATACAGCTATAGTGATCGTGCATCTGGGGATGACCATCACATGACACTGTAGACATTCCGCATGAGATTCATCTTCTCCCAGTGGGACCGAACACTGTGTCATGTGAGGCCCAGCATTTGCTTTGATATGGAATCGAGCTGGGATATTCTGATCCATCAACATGATGAAGAACAAGATGCTCCTCTAACCTGATATTGCCACAGACTCGTAGCCTGCACTCCTTTTTTGGGGTGGTTCCCTCATAGCCTGCACATGTTGCCCTTTTTTTTAAAGGGCATTGAAATATCATCATCGAACTGACCGGCCCTGGGTAATTCAGAATTGCAGAGAATTTTACTCATCCGCTTCCAGCAAGGTTCAAACTCAGGGCGGTATTTCAACAGTTCAGGAGCTCACCAACTCAGCTAGCATAAGCTGCACGTGTTAAATTGGCACAGGGTTTTTAATTGAAACACAGACAAATGGAATCTCCACCATGTACTATGTAGTGAGACATGTTAAACGGACTTTGAGAATCACCTGCTCAACATCCGTGCCTCCACCGTAATGCCCTCTCCAAGCGAAGCAATCTGGCAGCCCAAACGTGGAAACAAATGGTAAATGACACAAGGGGAAGCTCAGTCCAGAGGGGCGCAGTTCCACGGAGAATTGTTAATCATACAGAAAAGTGGGTGGGTGGGGGGAAGGGAAAAAAAAAGAGAAAAAAAAAACAGTCCATGTGACATTTGACATCCGTATTCCCGTGACCGATGGGTATCATGACGTCTCATGGCTTCAATACTTTACAGGCTCGTGCCTTCAGATACCGATCAGTCTACCACAGCATGTCGACTCACAAACAAAAATGTGACACAACGGTTCTACCATGCCTACATAACACCGGCATTGTTCTTTCTCGACTGTTACAGTGTTTGATGTGTGCCTCAAAGGCTTGGAGCTTCGAATTCCAGCCGCATAGAGGTTCCGGACTCTCAGTCACATAACTTTACAAATGCAGCCTCCGAAAGATTGTACAAGGACACCCAATACAACTCCCACCACAATAAACTTGAATAAAGTCTATTGCAACCAAACTCACGCACAGCCCCCAAAACTCCGTATGCAGTCTCGGCAGTTTAAGACACTTCAGACCACCAAGTGCATATTTACACAGTTCATGCTTCGTAAACCCTCCACTGTGGCAATAGAGAAAAAGAATACCCAATCAGAATTCCTACAGAGAATGAGCTCTCCGTTGGCTAGGGAAACTTGGAAAGCAACCCTTTTCCCCAGCGAATGGCTACGGAAAAACTGCGACTTGGAAGCCTCTTTGCCTCCACCTTTCTTCAAAAACATCAACCCATGCGTTCTCTATGCATGTTCCTCACAACTGGTGCGACTGCCAACCCTCAGCCCGCAGATTCACCCACACCCACTCTCGGAGACGCAACATTTTCATCCATAGCTCTCTTTAGTGCCTCCCACATGATAGATGCATTGCTGACCATTGCGATATGTGGGCATGCCCCTCACGAACTTCTGCCTGTCATCATTCACAAAACTCTCTCTCTCTCTCTCTCTCTCTCTCTCTCTCTCTCTCTCTCTCTCTCTCTCTCTCTCACACACACACACACACACACACACACACACACNCACACACACACACACACACACACACACACACACACACACACACACACACACACATCCCTGTTTCGAGCATTTGGCCACTATGCCAACCATGATGCTAGTACATGGTTGGCTAGTAGAGACTGACACGTCACCTCATATCATTGTTAAAACCTTTCTGACAACTCACATGCAGCCAGTAACAGGCACCGTGGAAACCAATCATAAATCACTCCTCCCATTTCCATTTACATATTCATGGATTTTCATGATAGTAAAATACACAAAGGACCGTGTAAGGGCGGACTGTTCAGATATACTACCTGCCTCCTAAGCTCTGAATTTCTCTCGTCACTCTTATCGAGCTTCTCCTCTGCTATCCTCAACTGCCACATACAACACGCAAAAGCTAAGTCAGGAAACACAAACTGAAGCAAGAAAATTTGCAGTTCTGCTTCAAGCATCAAGCAAAGAACAAGAGGCGAGAGCCAGCATAAACAGACCCAGCTGAGGCGTCTCTCCTCTCCCAACCAATGCCAACTTGATTTGGCATTTCACTACAACAATCTGCATCGGGTGCTGCATTTCGCTTTATCAACAGTGATGCCGGTGACGATTTCTAGAGATTCCTAGTTGAATTGTGGAGATCTTGCACGTCACTGCTGATTTGCGGTACTTGCCGCATGGTTCCATTTGTTCAGGCTTTGGCACCGACCATGCCGATCAGATCTGCACCTCAACTGGAATTCTAAAAGGGCGACAGGACTTGAGATATCATCATCGAACTGGCCGGCCCTAGGTAATTCAGAATATTAATGGTGTTTTACTCAACTGCTTCCAGTGGAGTTTTAACTCAGATCAGTAGTTCCACAGTTCAGGGGTGTACCAAGTGAGTAAGCCAGTTGGTGATCTGCACCTCAACTCTACATTGGTGCAAGTCTAAAGTTGGACTGGTTCTGTTTTTCCTTTTCTTCGATTTAGTCTTTCGCATGCGATGAAGGATTTGGACACCAGTATCGCTGCAAGCCTCCATCAGAGTTTCCTCTGGCCTCGCCCTCTTCCTTTGACCAGAGGCTGCTCAGGTTCTGGTTGTTTTCCACTCGTAGACATTTCAGCCGCTGCACAAAGATAGGGCATATTCCAACTCGTTCAATGCCACAGAGAACCCAGGAGTAGGAGAAGGCCTTTCTTCTTCGGGTAAAAACAACATGAGAAATGGATTTCTCGCACAAAAACAACGAACACAAAACTTGGACATTGCCGGAGTAGCAGGGGTAAGTCCACTTCTAATCAGTCATTGAGAGCAGTTCTGTTTTACAACATGAGGCCAGATTGCTCACAGCCATATCACTTCCCGTGTTTCACAACGCAATCATAACCCGGCCTTGCTCTGGCATCAACCTACACAAGCTACTAAGATCCGATTTGATTTGCAGTACACGGGGGAAAAACCCGCCCAGATATCACCTTAGCTTTTGTTTGGACGGTGCACTCGAATCATGCACACCCAAATAAGCTGGCCAAACGCCCAGCCAATCTAGCTGCCAGACTCATTGGTGATTTAATGAAACATCAAGTGCAAACAGAAAACTAATCATTCAAAGAACAACACAATGACACCGCCAACCAAGATGGAAAACACGACCACACTCAGAACCTACCGCTACTGCAGCCACAGCTACCTTAAACCACCAGTACTTCTGAAAAAGGAGATCGAGCCTCCTAAAAAATAGGAGGCCATGAACCACCAATTCATTTTATCGACAGTCCATGGCCTCCGAAATTTTAGAAGTCGCTCAACCTGCTTTTTTGTATGTACTGGTCGTTTATGCGCGCAAGGTCATCCTCTACTAAACTTGCGATCACTAATATTATATGCACTTACTTCATCGGCCATAAAAAACACACTTAGAACTTTTGGAGCAGTTCGCACACTTCCACATGGAGCATCTGAATGCAGACAACTGTTGAGCCCACTCATGGCATTTCCAAACTGTCAATCTAGTCTTTTCCCTCCTCTATCATTGGCACAGTCGTTATAATGCCCTCTGTGCAAGCAATAGGCAGCAAATCACGTACATCAGACAGCGATCCC